CTTTCTCTACAAAGTCAATGAATTCCACTCAGTTGATGCGAATTCAAGTCTCGAGCAAACGAAACAGTTATACAGTACCATTACGGTTTGCAGGTTTTTAAAGTTCCGTATATTCTGGACACCGTGGCAAACATCCTCAATGATGAAGCAACTGCAGCATTCACCTGTGCTTACATTCGAAGGGTCTCATTCCATAGCACAACGAGATCTCATATTTCAGATTTCTGTTCTATTTCACGCGTATTCAGCATATAAGAATGCGTAGATACATTATTTTGGGGCTAAATGTAACGCCGTCGAACTTTAAATTTAACATAAGACAATAAATTAAACACCACAAACTGACCCCATTAATGTCTGTTTGCAATTTCAAGCAATCTTCAGGTGTTTCAATTTTGTGGAATATTTTTACATCCTCTGCCTACTGCAGAATTTGAGAAGAATTTATGCAGACCGAAAAATAATTGTGAACAATGATGTATAAATGGGGACCAAGATTTGACCCCTGAGACACCCCAGAAATGCGACGTATGGAGCTCACATGACTCCTTGAAGGCGTACAAAGTTCTCACGCCTCGACAAATAACTTCTGGTCCAGCTTTTGTACCTCTCGGTTACTCCATGTTCAGAGAGCTTAACGAAAACTCTAAAATGATGCGTATTCAGTAAAATATTTTCATCTAAATATTTATTAGTACGTTGTCATTTGTGTTTTAAGCGTTGTCAACGTGTCAAAGTTAAAAATGAAGGCATACTTTTAAATAATCACCTCATTCCTTACTTAGAAGTCGGCAAACTTTCCAACATAACGAATGCTCCGGCATCATGATCTGTCGGAGCAAAATGCCACAACTAAAAAAAAATAAAAAAACAGTGCCAAGACATTTTCGAATTGTATCTTCTCCGGAAAGGACTCGAAGCATTGTCTAGTTTAAACGCTTTCTTATCTTTAATAGTTAAAATACAAATACAAATACCGCACTCCGACAAAATCAACTTTGGCATATGTCATCAGGTGCAATGTCAAGGTCTGCGAGCCGATCAAGAGACTCAGTAAGAACAAACTGAATTTTTTTTTTTTTATTCGTCTAAGATTTTCGAGCAACAAGAGAAACTTTCGTCATGAAGTACTTGCCTTCTTACTTTATAATATCGCGTCCGCGGCTTCAAACAACGATCCTTCTTGTTCCAAGAGAATACGGCAGAATGCATCACATGTATTGGACACGATTGCAGCATCGTTGCCCGGACCTCGATCAACTAAGCTAGAAGCTACGGCGGGGATTCAGATTCGCCATCGTGTTCATTCAGCGCGGCGACAGAAGCCTCTAAGAATGTTACGAACGCAAAACACGAATTGAGTATCACGAGCCACCTGATACAGTACTAGCAGTGACGTCATGAAATTGCAATAGAACACGTGATTTCTTCTTCTTAAATCTGCTTCTGAAGTTTCTTGTAGATGTAGCCGCAAGTGAGTCACTGCGCGGGATGTAGGTTTAACGAAGCTGAAGTGACACCCTTTCGCTTCACCAGCGCTCGCCCGTGTCACTTGTAGTGCGTTTTAAACTACCGGGATCGAACAAAAAATAAAGCTTTGCTGCTTTCCATTACAAACGATACTTCAGACCGTTTATAGAAATCATATCTACAATTTAACGACTCTCAACTTTCTATTCAGTTACGTCGGATCGACAATTTTCAATTGATTTTCTAGTCTTTATATTCATAAAATATACACGATACGAAATATATTTTTTTCTTTATCACTACGTCTCAATAAAGTTTATGTCGTCATATGTCTCTAGAATGTCTATACACTGGACTTGATAGAATTATACGATGTAGTGCAACAAACCCTCTTGTAAAAACTTTTTTTTTAGTATGCGAAATCGTTATTGCCTCTTGCAAAGCGTTATAATTGGAGATACAGTTCGCTAACCCTTAGAAACCACGTTGCGTAAAACTTATTGACGAAAAAAAAAACAGCATACATGTAATCCTTTTAACTTTCTTAGTGGCTCTTTAAATGATTGCCTTTCAAGTGTGGGGTATACATGGCGGTGGAGCAGTGAACACCGCTTAGTTGCTATGGTTATTAGTGCTCCTTGACGAGAGTATTTGTGATGTCTGCCTATTGTGCACGGCTACGTGCGAGTGCATGTTTGCTTGAATGTGTTCAGACAAACCTTAGAGTTACGTTTAGGCTGATCATAATGTAACGCTTGCGACTGTGGTGCGGTAAAATTAAGAAGCTTGTAAGTCGAAGAAGAAGAAATTAGGAGAATGTCTCGATGAGACGTTGTGCTACTGTTGTCTTTTCCCTCAGGTTTAAAGTTTCCTCACCTTTCCGCACTACACCCTCAGGTTTTACATTATGAACAATCATCACCTGCTCTCCTGTACACTCACTATTCTTTGTTAATGTTTGAGATGTTTACGATAAACTGGCAAACTTGTACATATTTTCTATAAAGAAGGGGTGGAGAAGTTGTTAGAATTGTTAGGTCCTTCCTATACAATTTTAATCTAATCTTCAAACACCAAGATTATTTTATAACTTTTTTTAAAAAATGCGGCCAAGAATCTATAAACACTGGTTAGAATAGCTGATACAATTTTCTTTAGAAACTACGCATCGCAGACTGTTGAAAATAGCTGAGAAAGTGACGCTAGCGGTAAGGATAAAATGTTAATGTTCGAATGTATCACGTTGCGTATATCAAAAGACAGATAAGAAAATTTCTCGCTGAGCCCACGTCCCTTACACTACGCCTTACACTAATGAAACCGTAATTTGAGATTGCGGGCGCCTCAAACAATTACTTCAATCTTAACCGCAAAAAAAAAAAAATATATATATATATATATATATCGTCTCTCTTTTAGGCAAGTTATCTTATTTCATTTTTTTTAATAAATGGTCAAGGATCCCGTAATCTAAAATTTCGGTTTGATAAGGTCGACGTTGGCTCATTAAGAAATTTGGATTTTCTTTTGTACTTTTGATGCAGGTAACGTCGAGTGCCCGTACTTTCACAAGTTATCACCACCGCAACCTTTTTTGCAAAGCGCGGTTTATTTATGCGGGCCGGAAAATTGGGTTTAAATTTCTCGATTGAACGCGGTATAACCACTTTAGATAGCGATTACAGCAATGAAATCCGCATCAGTGAATATGTCGACGGGACAACTGTGCTTCGTATACCGTGTGGAAGCCAGATCAATATGAAAAAAAGATTGTCATGTTGGTTGCAACTGACCAATCGAAACTGGAGTAGAATAGGTTCGCGCCAGTCTATCCTTCGCAATTGTTTTCCGCATTTAATCCACCAAATAACTCTCCCGTGGAGCGCCCCCTGGCCACTGCGAAAGTTTTCTCGCTTACTGATTGAACGCGTCGTCCCAGCTTTGTGCTGGGAACACGTCATTCACTAATGAGAAATGCTCTATCTGTTTACAAGTCCACTATCGTGCAATATTTTGGTTAATTGTTTTTTTTTTATTTCGTAACAAACACGGTCCCTGATATGTTTGTTCCGAGCGTTTCTTTATTCAGCGGTTGTTTTCCGCATGTATAAGGAAGCGCGGGTTTGGAAGAGTGTTTACACATTTCTTTTCCACGCCAAACAATACACTTTTTCCACAATGGTGCAGCCATCTTTAATGTCGTCCATTTTCGTATTTCCTAAAATATTGTGTTAACCTCTTCAAGCCGCTGCAAGGTGTTCACGATGAATGCCTGATTGTCACACATTGTTCCTTCGCCTCACCTATATTTTCTCGCCGATTTCAGGTTTTTATGTCTTTTATGTTTTATGTTTTTTTGTTTTTTTTTTACTATTTGTGTTTTGTGAGTTGCCGCTGCTGCTGATTGTAGGGAGGGGGCCGAGGACTCGTCAAGCTGCATTTGCGCAGCTTTTTTCCTCTGTCTCCTTCCATCATGTAATGTGATGGAGAAATAAACATTTATTTATTTATTTATTTATTTATTTATTTATTTATTATATTCTTTTTCCGTTTCACATACCAGATATGAAACCCACGTCATTTAGAACGAAATAAAACGAAAAACGTCAATAGACCTATTCCTAAATTACCGATGCATCAACTAGAAAGCTGGAAATGTAGATCTACGCGCCGCACGCCCTCGCTTTCCCTGTATAAAAGATTCTAAGTAAATAACCAAAATAAGACGTTGACTAGCGCGCGTGCAAGGTGTCATTTCTTTAGGATTTTGCCTTAAAACTGTTACTGCCGCAGACGCCAGCACGTGCGGCACTTAGACCTACATTCTCGGCATTCTCCTTGGTACTTGGGCAGTTTAGCAATAGGCATATCAACGCATTTTACAAACGGCGCGTCATGTTATAGCAACTGCGTGGCAACGCCATTGCTAGAATATTAGGGAGATTTCGTAGACCGTGCGCTGTGCTTCGCGTTCTCTGTGGGCATGTAGTCAGTCCATGCTAGATATGAAGGCAAAGCGTACGATCTGCGAAAATCCCACTCATGTTTCTCCTGAATTATGATTATATATGAAACATGCATAACGCACCGTGTCACGGCTCACAGCACAGGTAGCCCTCATATCGGCGATGAAACCTCATCCGCCAACCGGTCGCGGGTGTTGTTGCGTAAATATGTAGTTCAAACGTGGTTGCGATTCATGTGAATGCAGTCAAAGGTTTCTTTGCTCATCCTTGGTCACGTGTTTTCGCGAGATGAGTGGCTCAATAATGCCGTCACACCGAGCACTCAGGAGTAGGGATGTACATTACAGCATCAACACGTCGCATCTCGCGTGCATCTGACTAGCAATCGCGGACGCTACGCCACCTGTCTCCTCTCACCCACTTTCTATGGCTGTGACCAAAGAGAGGCATCAAGAGATGCCCGGCTCAGCGACAGTGTTGCATGCCACTAACCCCAGACATCGAAGCGGCGTCGCTTTTGTCGTCGTGACGGCATTTGACGTGGCCTTTGTTCCCTGTGGGCAGTCGTGTTTCCGGACACGAACCTGCCCGATTCCGGCAGCTTCTGCCAGTCTCCGCTCGGCACCTCTGGGCGCTGCGTGCCTTACCAGGAGTGCCGCTTCCTCTTCAACGACGAGTTCCTGGCGAGGCGGTCGCTGTGCGGCTTCAACGGGCGGGTGTCCCTCGTCTGCTGTCCGCAGCAGGGCCAGGGCTTCGGTAACGGCTTCGGAGGGGGCCTCGGGGGAGGAGGAGGCGGAGGAGGCATCGTCTTCCCCGAGGTGAGCCCCACCGAGCTTGGCTGGCTAGTGCACGCCGCACCACCCTAAGAGGGAAATGCCTCTTGGGCCTTCGTTCAGTACGTTCTGAGGTCAAATAGTAGGCTCCTCACAAGGCATTTTAGCACACTCAGACTTCTAATTATACTTGAAACCGTCGGCAAAGTTATCAGGTGGGTTACACCACAAAACTTGCAACTCTAAGGGCATATATATCGATTTTATATGCTTAATTAAAGTGTATTTTAAAGATGGCTTAAAGATTGTATTGTATAGTTCCGTAGAAATAACGATTTAAGCAAGGAACAACTGGCAGCATTAGCGGTGTCGTTTTACGGAAATCTCTCTGTAGTATGAGCAGGAAAACTAATATTTCAACAATGAAAGCACGAAACGAAATGCCCTTCTTTTATACGCTTGTCATTTTTTATGACCGTCCGGTTATAGAAACATGTTTTGGTTTTTTTTCTGGAACACACTTTTTTTTTTTGGAACAAGGTGCTAAAGTTTTTAACTGCCGAATTTTATTTATTTTCTTGAGTTTACATCAGGCAAACAGATCATTGTCCACCGCCATGTCTTTGCTCGTGCGGGCAATGCCAAGCCAGCAAAAGTTACCACAATTCCGAATGTTAATAATATATATATAAATAATAGATATATTTGAATGCTACATATCTCTATTAAATGAGGGTATACTCAAAAATTTGATTTTACAAGTAATGGCTGCAACGGGTTTATGGCTTATGGAGGGCTTGTTTTCTCTCTTTTGACGTCGTCTGATACCTATGTTCTATGTGGTGTGGTAAGCAGATTCGAAGCAAGGGCCACCACTTTGACGCGCAAGTGCAATAGAATAAAGGAAATGTTCGCTCTTTTAAAACTCCTCTTAGGAAAAAACGATGTTTTTCGTTTGTTGCTTAATTTCCTATCATAGTCAAAGTAGTTGACTTTTTGCACGGTCAGCAAAGAACTTTTCTGGTGAAGGAGCGTCATATTGAGGCTGCAGATAAAAAACCTGGAGAGGACGACGATACATCGGAACTGGTCACAAACCTGACGACTTGACATTGTTATTCCTAATAGATCATAATATCCCTAAATAAAAGAGTATAGTTTATACTTAGCCTGAGGTTCGACACAAATTAGCAGTTTCTACTGCAAACGTGCGTTCATATTACGTTTGACTACAGCCCTGCGAACGAGAGTACGTGTGCTAAAGACTTGGCAAAGCCTAGAACAATTGAAGTACCAATCTCGCGTTCTGAATTATGTGAGGCAAGTGTAGTTGTCAGTTACTTTGGATGGTTCCCTTTGTGGACCCGCCCACCAATCGGCCTGTCCCTGCGCAGGTCCCTCAAGTCCCGCAGAACTTCCCGAACATCGGTAGGCCCTTCCGCCCATTCAGGCCCAATTTCAACAACGGTTTCGGGAACCCTTTTGGAGCAGCTGGCGGCGGCGGCGGATTCGGGCCCCCGAGGCGACCCTTCGGCCAAGGAGGAGGACTCCCGCCCAACAGAAACCCTTTCGGAGGAGGAGGAGGCCAGTTCGGGGGCAGATTCCCCGGGAACCACCGCACCCCGCGGCCCTCGGGCCCATACAACTCGCCGCGACCCCAGGGACCCAGGCAGTGGGGCACCAGCAGTAAGGATGCCCACTGTTTTCTCCTAGGCGTGCTTTTTTGTGAGCCCCACGCGCGTTTGGGTCAAAACTGCCGCGCTGGAGAGTCACGGACAACTGTTAACTTGGCCCAGTCATTACCAGCTAGAAAACAAGGTCTGCTCAATGCGTCGTTGTCAGTGAATCCCCGACTCGCCCTAAGCGGCGAATGCGCTGAATCTCAACGAGAGTACGCTGCAAAGCTGCAGTTCCTTACATCTTGGCGTAGCCGTGTGGCCTTCGGCAACGCCATGGCCTCCGGTGCACCTCGAGCGCAGACGAGCAGCCAATGCTCGGCGGAATTCATGGAGGACGTGCTGTAGGCAGGGCGTTCAAAAGACACGCCCTGCGTTCTAACTTTGTCAGCGGCATTACAGCGCTTTGTCTCTTCTAATTATGCGACGTTAGTGAAACCTACTAGCCAGGTGGGAAATGGTAACTAACGCAAAAATCGCGGATGTTGTATCCACGCCAACATTGTTAGGCCAAAGGTGATATTGGCGCTGTTTAGTATTTTCTTTCCAAAGGACAAGGGGGGGAACTATATTTTACCACTTGTTCCAATGTTCCAAATGTTCCAGATCAGCATTCTGCATGCCAGTAGTTTGACAACATCCTTTCAGTTTTAAGGAGAAAAAAAAACAAAAAAAACGACGAGCGTTTGCATGAAAGTGTCGTGCGATGCAGGTATTCCAACACGACTGTGCCACCCAGTCGACTAGGATGATCTTCTCACCACCCGTTGTCATGATAAAGTTTGGTCAACAAGATAAACAATTAGATCATGAGTTTATTCGGTACTACCACGATCACTGCCCTTCTACGCTCCGACTCGACTTTCTTAATTTAAATGAAAGAAACAAAAAAGACACGCATAGCCATTGGTGTCGGAACAGCGGAGGGGTGGGGGCATACTTTTTTCTTTCTTTTTTTTCTTTTTTTTAATGGCGGCACGTTTACATAACATCCTTCTCTCTGTCCTTTCGTCTTCATTGTCAGCTCGTCCCTTTACCTTTTAGGTCCCCAAACAATTGCAAGGCCACTGTCTTTAGCTTTTTGAGCCTAAGAAGCCTCACTGTAAGGCGCATTTGCGAAACAACTATTTAGTCTATTCGGGACCGTGGATCTCTGTTTTGTCACTTCTACAGAAAATACAACAATAAAGGGGGAACTTTGATTATGCCAAAATATAGTTGACGTCCTAGGGAATAATATTGCATATAGAAATAAATAAACACAAGTTATAAGGGCCGCTTAATTTATTGTTCAAATTAATTTTTGATAAAATTTTAAAAATTATTAAGATAATTTCGTAAAATAAATTAAAGCGGTACCATTCGATAGCCCATGAAGGTATACAGTATTTCGTGAGCAATATTTGTGAGGAATCCGAAAATGCAAGGCTGAAAATATGTAACCTAAACGTCAAAAGTGACATGTTTACATTTTTTGTTTCTTCCACGAATTATACCAAAATTTTTAATCCAACCTAAACTATAGGTCGCGTTTAATAAAAAGTCCTTTAAAACGGATCGTAAGTTTTTTATTTCTTCTTTTTTTTCCTTCATAACAACTTACAGAACTGGGTACAACAGTGAAGCAGCCGAAATGTTGCATTTCACCTTAAATCGCCGCTCCGCTCAATCCCGAACATTTCGGGATAAATAGTAATTTCACATAAAAAGCACTAATAGAAAGCACTACGTCATTTGCTTTGCGAAAAATGGGATATATATTTTTAAATCTTACTTTAAACATAAACAAAAATCGAAACCGAAACATCGGCTTCGTCTGGCAACATTGGCTTCAAGCCGCCAGAAACAGGGCTATCAAGTGGTACAACATGTCACGTGATCCTCTACGACACCGCGGACGGGAGTGGGGCGGGCGTCTGCCAGTCGCAAGTGTCGTCTGTGCCGCACTCTTCACCACGTTTTGGTGTCTACGACATTCGACAACGTCTGAACAACTGACATTTAGCTTGTAGCCAACCTTCACAATGATGTCTTCGCAGATAAATAGAGTTTCCTAACTACCTCAAAAGACGCAGCTTTCATTCGCTCAAGTCCGTCTAGCATTCGTCCGGACAAACACATTTTCGTAAAATAAAAGCTCGTTCCGGAGTTCTTCTGATTGAGGCAATTGTTTCGTATGCACTTTAAGATGTGCACTGTGTCAACAACATAGCAGAAAAGGCGGCTTTAATCAGCGGGGTGTTCGCAGACAACACTTACTTTGGTTTCTTCGCAAATAGTGACATCACATTAAGGTTCAGAGCATTGTTTTCGGTTATCACGGCGATGAATTTCAGTTCCATTTCTTCAATCAATATGCTGATGCAAAGCTTTTGCGCTCATTGTTTTGAGAGCCAGAATGTGAAGTAGTACATCCTTGATTAAAGACAAGAGGACCTAAATCATCAACACCTGTCTGGCAACGCAGCAAGGGTAGCTTACCTTTGAATGTTTGATCGGTGTAAAATATTTGCGTGGAACAGCTTTGAGCCACGCTTTCTTGCGTGTATCATCACTTGAAAAGGAGAATATGTGCACTTCTGGGCCGTTATCATAGTTTTCGCGGCACCCTGACACACAACACCGGCCCATTTTTCGCAGGGCGACAATCCCCCAGGAATTCAGCAGCACCTCTCTGCTTAGGTCTGCTTCCGCATACTCATTCAAGCACGCTCACACAACAGAAAAAAAAAAGCAAGTAAGCTGACACACTGTCATCGCGTACAAAGTATGTGAAGGAATGCAGGCGAAAGGGAATTAACGCGTCTCCGAGGAGGCACAAGTTAAAACCAGTTGAGAACGGCAAGGGCAACACATCCCACAGGCGAGTAGTCCGAGGAAGTGGCCGGGCGGGTCGGGCGACTAGCGAGACGTAGGCTGAAGGGGAGAAGGGGATATGAAGGGGCCTCCAGGTAATCTATTTGTTGTTGATTAAATACATAAGAGTCACATAAAGCAGAGTTGGAGAGGAAGAGAGAGTGGGTTGTCAAGTCAAAGCCTTTTTGGGGGCCCATACAGCCCGGAGTGCGCCGGTGTACATTAAGGACGCGCCTGGGGGTTAGCGCCATAGAAACAGCATGGAGACGGAAGCGAAGCGTCGCAGAAATAATAGAAAGAAAAAACCTAATATTTAGATAATAAACCTGGATGGTGGAAGACTTACGCTAAAGTAGGAGGTGATTGGTATACAACAAGAGGAATAAAACTTTCACAATGTACGGGATAGCAGAAACACATCTGAGATCGGGAGGAACTCTCTTACGTACATACCCCACACTTCTTAAACGAGTTGAGTTGGTCAGTAACAAAAGGAGTTTCAAAAAAGGAATCAACACCAACGTTCACAAGCTCCAAATGATACCGCGGCAACAGATGATGTGTTTGCTCTCAATAGTAAATTCTGCACCCCTTGCGCTGTGATTGTACAAAAAAAAATGCCATTACAATTAATGCTATCTTTTGGGCAACATATCTACATTTGGCTCTAGAAATAAACTCGGGAAACCCTTCTTGCAATGTCTAAGCCGTCTTATAACGAGCGGTTTACGCTAAATCCTATTTACTTTAAGTGCTGTAGGAGAAAATTATAAAAAGCATTTTTATTTTTAGTTTGTACTCTGGAATATATTGTGTACAGGGGAACAATAGCTTATTAGAGAGGTTCCTTGAGTGCAACAAATAAGCCCATGAAAACGCAGGGAGGAATTTAATGATCGGTCCACCCGCCCTTGCTAGCTAGTTAATCTGTTGTTGTTGCTGTTGTTGTTTTCTATTGCACTCGTAAAATGAATAGTTGCCGCCTTTGCAAACCGATAACTCCCATCAATAAAAAAAATTCATTTAGTGACAAAATGAATTCCTAGGTTACCGAGACTCTCGCAAATGTATCTATATAAAATTCCGCCATATCTTGTTAATTTGTTCATTAGAGCAAAGAAACCTGAAATATTCCAAACATAACTTTTGACCCTTTGCGTGACTTTTTTGGCAGTTATTATTCCAAGCGCGGACTTTTTCTGTTTTCGCTGTGTGCAGAGTTTGTGGTTTTGAATATTTTATTTAATAAAACGCTTACATAAAGCCAAGTTGCAGACCACAGAAGATGGCAGATACTCAACAGACTAAACTCACATATTGAAGGGTTTGCATGACTGAAACCTGCTTCGACGCATTGTTCTATAGACTATTGCAGAGATCTTAGAGTTCGCTTCTGTTGCGTTTTTGTGTGATTGTACGCGTTACTTTGCCGCAATGTCTGCGAATGTACACAATCCTGCTGTAGCCAGCGGTTTGCAAATAAAATGTCTTAATTCCAGGTACGTTTTCATATGCGTCAATCTTTTTTTATTCCTTTAAGTATGCAGTTCTTTAATTTGAGAGCTAGCCCCTCCGTGACCGCACTTTGAGTCCTTACATCTTGACCCGACTATTCCTCCATGTAACAACCTTTATGTGGTACGTCCTACTATTTCGATTTTGTTTAATCGTCGTCAGACATATTTATTTCAGTTTGTCTGACGGCTACATTTTTAACGAGCGTTCAGTGTCGCTCTGTTTTCCATTTAATATTATAACTATATTTATTTCATTATTCATAACAAATTGAGATTCACCAGACGACACAGTTACCAGAAAAACGACATCCGTACATTTTCGCCTCTGAAGGGGAGAGAGTACTGTGGACTCCAACACTTAACTTTTCCGGCTTATTTTCTAACCAATCACTTTGCACAACACGCGTATTTGTAATGTCAGAATTTAAACTCTTCTAAAAAGATAGCAAAACAAGACGATTTGTTTCGTTCGTGCTGACAAAGACGCACTTTGCGTGAAAAATTCCGAACATTGTATAGTTGCTTTCGCCATTACGATAGCGCGACTTAAATATAACGATCACACGTTGGTAGGCGACTCTTTCTACTAATCTCGCCAAATTGGCTCTCAGCTTTTAATCAAATAAACACGTCAAAATAATGGTGAACACCCTCGGCTACCTTGCCCTTACTATTTGTTTTGCCTCAGGAGAACCGCGGCGCAGCGGAACGGCAAGTCGCTAATGCCCATGACGAACATGACAATAAAGATATTGTCGAGAAACACTTCATTTCCCCTTTCTGACCCATATCTTGTACGCTTCATGCCGTATGCTTGTCTTAACTTGCGGAAGATCATCAGCAGAAAGTCGCGTCCATTTTATTGCTCAATGGTAAGAACTTTATACTTGAGGGGGCTGAGGACCAGTCACAATGTTTGGACAGCTTTTTTCCTCAACTCCTAACATGTGTGCATGATGAATAGATGAGCTAATATTATCATTAGTAGTAGTAGTAATAGTAGTAGCAGCAGTAGTAGTAGTAGTAGTAGTAGTGGTAGTGGTGGTAGTAGTAACAGTAGTACTAGTAACACATTTTTCACAAGCAGTAAGGGGACAGCTGGGAACGTAGGTCCACGATCTGCACGCGCTCATCTTATCAATAGACAAGAATTGAAGTCACAAATCAAAACAAGGCGCTAACAAACTCACGTGAATAAGCGCCCTTTGTTCTAGTCTTTCGCTTTAGAGAAGTCACTTCTGTACATGTCAGCATGCGCAGCGCGTGGAAATGCCTCGCTAATTGAACAATATATATATTTATACAAACGGTTTTCTAACGTGACATGCCCTAAAATGAGCTCTGCAGGAAACGCTGTTAGCAGCCATATCTTCTTATTATTTTTCCGTTCAGACAATATAAAACTGAAAAAAAACACTGAGAAAGTAAATAAACACGCAGAAATTTGTCATTTTATCTATTTCCGTTTGAAGAACGTTAATAGGACTATCGTAGATCGTCTCAAGCACAGAACAAATAAAAGTAAATCTAAGGACGCGAGCATAGATAGATTAAACTTGTCAAGTTCCGAAATAAGACATGCATAAAAAGTAAAAGTTTTTCTTTCTCTTTAGTACTTCCTGGCTTTAAGATTTCAGAACAGGTGTTTTATTAAAATAATTTCGAAAAGTTTCAAATGATATTGCTTTCTGTGCTCTGATATTTTTTATTATGATTATAATTACGAAGCTTCACAATCCCAAAAGATTGTGGCTTTATCTTAAACATTTTTTGATAGATTTCTCGATTTGCTAGCGAATTTTCGGGACCAAAGTGAGCCTTTTCCTTACAGATTGCGGAGTGGCAAGTAGCGCCCTGGTCCGCATCGTGGGCGGACGGGAATCGAACCTTGGAGCTTGGCCCTGGATCGTAAGTCGACGCTGGACATAAACTCTTGCTCTTCTATAGACCAATTCACTTTAATGTTATCGTGATTTCGGAATATACTCCGCACAGTATGAATGTTTAAAAAATAAGAACATAGTTGATGCGGACTATCTGCAGATGTGGATTATACGCGCATTTGAATTTCACAGCGAAGCTGTCTATGGCTAGACTTCGTTTCATACTTAGCGTGCAACGTTGTCAAAGCTACTAGCGCGAGCGTGGGGCTTGATCTCGTTGATCATTTGCACGTGTTCTCGCGCAAACAAAACCATAGATGAAGCCACGCGCTCGCGCCAGTAGCTTTGACTGCGTTGCACGCTAAGTATGAAACAGAGTATAGGTTCTGGCAGATTGTCACCGGGGTCAGACCGAGCGTAGACCAACAATTTTACACTGTTAATGCTGCAGACGCCAGCGCCGCACGCGCGCGTTGCCCTAATAAAATATTTGAAGTAAATAACCAGAATAAAGCGTTGACGAACTCGCGTGCAAGACGCCATTCGTTTTAGGCTTTTGCTTTAAAATAGTTACTGTGTCAGACGCCGGCGCCGCACGCGCGCGCCTTCCCACGCGCGGGGTGTCTCTCCCCCTGAACATTCCGCAATGCCGCGCACTAATCGGCGGCCAGCTGGCGAAGGTCGCGCCACAGTCCTTATCATGTGGACTTCAGACTTGATACGGGTCGCAACCGTGTGGAGGAAGAAATCCCGGGGATTTCTCCACGGCACGCGCATTTCGCGACGAACACGTCAGGCTTTGCGATAAGCAAAAGCCTCGCGTTTTCGTCTCGTGATGCGCGCGCGCCGGGAAGAAATCCCTGGGATTTGTCCCTCGTGTGAATATCCTTGTAGAGGAGCAACGAGAGTACGAGGAGCGTCGGCGCGCCCAGGCGCGCCCAGAAGCGAGAATGGGCACCGTCCTCGTTGCCGCTGCTCCCAGCCTGATATAGCAAATTCTATCACAGTGTCAGCTTTGCTGGACTCTGGAAAAATCAAAAATAACCCGGGCAAGTCTAATTTTTTTTTTGAGGGGGTGTAATTTATTTGGAGCTTGAGAAGAGCAGCTGCCGGTCGATCAAGAAGTTCGGGACATCCCTCACATCGCCAATCGTTTCTACGACACATCATATTATTTTTGTTTCCATAATGTGTTTTAGCCCATTTATATAGAACACTCTTCAAAAAATAAACTCGAACTAAAAAGTAACGCGCCTCATGAACGTCAGAAGCTTGGTGAAAAAATAACCAAGCGATTGGCCTGTTGGGGCGCACGCGATTGCCGCAATCAATGAGAGGGAAAGAGAATCATGTCGTTTAACACCTGAAACTATGGTGCAGAAAAGGAAAAAAAAAAACACTTTTAGTCGAAGGAACAGACAGAAAACAAAACGTCTCAAAATCAAATAACTGATTTATTTCTCAGGCATCCATATGTCTGTGTGCTTCTTCATCTTTTTGTCCCTACCTTTTTGCGCTATTTTGAATATGAAGGCTATATATGCCCACAGAGTCAGTCCCAACCACCTTCTAGGCAGAGATCTCCTTTGTTGAAAGCACTTTCAAACACAGATAACATATAGACTTACAAGAGACCGCGCGGTCAAACACACAATAGAATGCCCTTATCATCAAGGACGACGGGAAAGGGTTCCGGGACCTATATTGAGTGACCTCAGGAACACGGCGACTGCTCCGCTTTGTACCCCGAACCGGGTAAAGTTTCCTAAACATCAACACCGCTCCAAGCATCATTCCCTCTCTCTAAAAAAAACTCAAACAACTTTCAGGTGTAGTTTACAATCTGAGGGAATTTCTGCGTGGCTCCCAAGTTGCATCCAAACATGGCTTATGCAGTTTCCAAAAGACTTTATACTTATTGTTTCTTTAACGACTCTTTTTATATGATGAAAAATGATGAAAATAATCCCTGGAGAAGGGGAACAAGAGGGACAAAGGACAAACATAAATCTCCAAACACAGCTAAGTGACTGGTGAGCGACTGAAAAAATCCGCCTGGTCCGGGTATCGAACCCGGGACCTCTCCATTACAGGTGGAGCGCTCTACCAACTGAGCTAACCAGGGGTTAGACGTCAGTAGAGCAAACGGGTTTTATCAGTTGCCACCAGTCTAAAACCAACAAGGGTGAAGCTTGCAAGTTAAGGTTGTAATTATAATGCAAATAAATGCAAAGGTGCAAGCGAGCTGGACAAGAATGATGAAAATAATCCCTGGAGAAGGGGAACAAGAGGGACAAAGGACAAACATTTTCATCATTCTTGTCCAGCTCGCTTGCACCTTTGCATTTAATTGCATTATAATTACAACCTTAACTTGCAAGCTTCACCCTTGTTGGTGTTAGACTGGTGGCAACTGATAAAACCCGTTTGCTCTACTGACGTCTAACCCCTGGTTAGCTCAGTTGGTAGAGCGCTCCACCTGTAATGGAGAGGTCCCGGGTTCGATACCCGGACCAGGCGGATTTTTTCGGTCGCTCACCAGTCACTTAGCTGTGTTTGGAGATTTATGTTTGTCCTTTGTCCCTTTTGTTCCCCTTCTCCAGGGATTATTTTCATCATTCTTGTCCAACTCGCTTGCACCTTTGCATTTAATTGCATTATAATTCTTTTTACATCATTCCGCTCTTTATGTTCAACTTTCGTCTCTGACCAGCACGCAGTACAAGGGTTGCATTCCTGAATGTGATTTGCAATTTCTGTGTTTGAGGCATTTGTCTTTACGTTTCTTTATGTCGTTAACCTGTCGTTAACGCTTATCGAGGTCTGTTCCACGTACTTAAACCCGCATGCTAACGATATTGCCGCGCGCCAAGTAGGCAGCGCGGCCGTAGCCTAACGGTTATCGCGCTTGCCACCCACGCGAAGGGCCAGGGTTCGATTCCTGGCCGCGGCTATGCATTTTTGTTAACACTGTAATGTGATGTTCTGGTGAAATCGAGAACCGTCTAACTGATTCGAGGTCAGAATTTTCTACGCGTCGAACCTTCTACGTCGAATGCTCCAGAAGCCAACGTGTGTACAAAAGCGGCTCCGCAGGCAAGCCTGCGGAGCCAAGTAGGCAGCGCGGCCGTAGCCTAACGGTTATCGCGCTTGCCACCCACGCGAAGGGCCAGGGTTCGATTCCTGGCCGCGGCTATGCATTTTTGTTAACACTGTAATGTGATGTTCTGGTGAAATCGAGAACCGTCTAACTGATTCGAGGTCAGAATTTTCTACGCGTCGAACCTTCTACGTCGAATGCTCCAGAAGCCAACGTGTGTACAAAAGCGGCTCCGCAGGCAAGCCGGAGTCAGTTTCGCTCCAGCGTTCGACTGTGCTGCTACGCCGACTTCGACGCCCGCGACGCTCTGTTATTATCTTTGTTCTCCCTTCATTTTTTGGCACTTCCCGAACCCGCCATCCGATCAAGCGCGGGGGTGGTCGGCGGGAGACGTTTAGAGAGGAAGCACGACCCCAGAACTGCTCACAAAATGTACATTAATTGCGTCCTTGCACTCCGCGTGCAGAAAGACGGGACCATCCTATTAGAGACAAAAGCTTCTCGCCGAGAGCTGCTTCGAGCAACCTAAGGGGAAACGTTGCTCCCCGAAGGGAGCAACCTCTCCTCTCGCAATCCAAAATAAATAAAAGCTCCCCAAAGAGAGTAACCGGGGAGGGGTTACTCCCTAAAGAGAGAGAGAGAGGTTGCTCCCTTCGGGGAGCAACGTTTCCCCTTAGGTTGCTCGAAGTCTCGGAGGACATCTCATCACACCAGTCGGGAGATGCACTGCTCGCGTCGAGATCCACGGTGAAACGTGCCCTGTCAAGTTCGTCGTTCTGCATGACTGTTCGAGGGACGTTATCCTCGGAATGGACTTTCTCTGCGAGTATGGCGCCGTCATCGACCTCGGAACAAACCGGCTGACGCTACGAAAACCTGCTCCACCAGCGGAGGAACCCCAAGCGACGTCACCCACGGTCCGAGTCCTCGCAAACCACATAAACCTACCACCGCGGTCGAGTGTTTTCGTACTTGTCGGGATCGATGAAGCTTCCTCTGGCGAAGTTCTTCTCAAGGGAAGCCTCCAATTGCTCCTGGGAAGAGGCATAGGCGTCGCAAGGGGAGTAGCTGAACTTCAGGATGGGCGGACTGTGGCCCTCGTGACGAACTTCCGAAACGAAACGCAACACCTCACGAAAGGTGCAGCCGTGGGCCACGTCGAGAAACTCCGAAACCCCACCGAAATCACCGCGATTACTGACGAATCCTCGCCGCCCCAGCAAGACAGTACGTCACCAGCGCAGCTCGACATTGACCCTAGGCTTCCGGACCCTAAACGGCGTCAGCTGGTTACCCTCCTCGCCGAATACCGCGACTGCTTTTCGACGTCGTCGAAGGTGCGCCAGACCGCGGTTGCCAAGCACCGCATCGTTACCGAGGACGACGCGCGCCCTGTGCATCGATCGCCGTACAGAGTCTCCGCTAAGGAAAGGGAGGTGATCCATCAGCAAGTTCAAGAGATGCTGAATGACGACATCATCCAAGCTTCAAGCAGTCCATGGGCCTCTCCAGTCGTGCTGGTTAAGAAGAAGGACGGAACGCTTAGGTTCTGCGTGGACTACCGGCAGCTGAACGCGGTGACGAAGAAAGACGTCTACCCACTTCCCCGCATCGACGACACGTTAGACCGGCTGCGCCACTCTCGATACTTCTCATCGAAGGACCTGAAAACCGGCTACTGGCAGATCGAAGTCGACGAACGGGACCGAGAGAAGACAGCTTTCGTCACGCCGGATGGGCTGTACGAGTTCAAGGTGATGCCCTTCGGACTATGCACGGCGCCAGCAACTTTCCAGCGTGTCATGGACACCGTACTGGCAGGACTGAAGTGGCAGAGTTGTCTCGTCTACCTTGACGACGTCGTAGTATTTTCAGCTGACTTCGACGAGCACTTGAGACGACTCCGAGCTGTTCTTCAAGCCATTCAGACCGCCGGACTCACACTCAAGCCGTCAAAGTGCCGGTTCGCCTATGACGAACTGAAGTTCCTTGGCCACGTGGTTAGTAACGAAGGCGTCCGCCCAGACCCCGAGAAGACTCGCGCCGTCGCGGCATTTCCAGCGCCGACAGATAAGAAGGCCGTGCGAAGATTCCTTGGACTTTGTGCCTATTATCGACGCTTCGTTCGGGATTTCGCAAAGATTTCCGCACCACTTACGAATCTCACGAAGGACGCCGAGAAGTTCGAATGGGCCGAGGAGCAACAGCAGGCATTCGACGAACTGAAACGACGACTCCAGACTCCTCCTGTGCTTGGACATTTCGACCAGGATGCGGAAACAGAAATTCACACGGACGCAAGTAACGCGGGACTGGGCGCAGTACTAGTCCAAGTGCAAGAAGGCATCGAGCGAGTCATCGCCTACGCAAGTCGGACATTGTCCAAGGCGGAAAAAAATTACTCCACGACTGAGAAAGAATGCCTTGCGGTCGTCTGGGCAATAACGAAGTTTCGTCCGTACTTGTACGGGAGCCCGTTCCGTGTAGTCACGGACCACCACTCGCTCTGCTGGCTTGCGAACCTGAAGGACCCGTCAGGACGCCTCGCTCGATGGAGTCTTCGACTACAAGAGTTCAACATGACAGTGGTCTATAAGTCAGGCCGCAAGCACAGCGACGCCGACTGCCTGTCCAGAGCCCCCGTCGAAACCCCTTCCGGCTGCAGCGACGACAATGACGACGAGTGCTTCCTAGGAGCAGTGAACACCGACGATATGGCACGACGTCAACGGGACGATCCTGAGCTGCGCGCATTAATCGAGCACCTGGAAGGGGGCAGGAGTACCGTGCCACGTGTCTTCTCACGAGTACTGCCGACCTTCGCCATCCGACAAGGTGTACTCTACAAAGAGAACTTCGGCGACAACAACACACCGTGGTTGCTGGTCATCCCGAGTGAACTTCGAGAGGAGATCTTCCAAGCCTGCCACGACGACCCGACATCCGGACACCTTGGTTACAGCCGGACACTGGCCCGTATTCGTGAAAAGTATTACTGGCCGAAGCTCCCCAAGACCGTCCACCTATACACACGCGGGCGTCGAAGTCGGCGTAGCAGCACAGTCGAACGCTGGAGCGAAACTGACTCCGGCTTGCCTGCGGAGCCGCTTTTGTACACACGTTGGCTTCTGGAGCATTCGACGTAGAAGGTTCGACGCGTAGAAAATTCTGACCTCGAATCAGTTAGACGGTTCTCGATTTCACCAGAACATCACATTACAGTGTTAACAAAAATGCATAGCCGCGGCCAGGAATCGAACCCTGGCCCTTCGCGTGGGTGGCAAGCGCGATAACCGTTAGGCTACGGCCGCGCTGCCTACTTGGCGCGCGGCAATATCTCATACACCACACTCTCTATGCTAGAACTGAAGGTTCCCGACAGGCCTGATGGCAGCCTTTTTTTATTTTACTAAAATTTCGTCAACCTGTTTGTTTTGAAATCTGAGGAGAATACAATGTCTCCTTCCAACTTTTTGCTCGAACTTTCAGGTTATGGGAAATCCCAGGGAAATCCCGGATCACTGCTATTTTCCTTTTTGCTTGTTTCTTTTGCATCTTCAACCTTCAATTCTAAATGCCTTTTTATTAATTCCTCTTCATATCCTGCAGCTTCTAGCCTTATCCATTGTCCCTTTGCCGCATTGCCCATAAAATGAGTGCACCATTTCCACAACATGTGTGTTATTAAAGATTAAACAACCCGTGCTTTTACCGATTTAGCGTGACAACTATATCTACTTAACACCGGTTTTTCCAATTTTTTTTTCATACTGCCAGCAAAGGCACTGTTTTACATGTATAAGCAAATCAAGAAATGCCAGGACCACATTTTCAGGTTCTTCCGCTGTAAACGTATGCTCTGGGTTTGTTGTTGTTATGAGCGATTCTAAGCCCCGAGCATCATTCTCTTGAAAAGCGCGAATAAAAATGTCATCAGCGTACTTCCCTACAAAGAAGCCATTTTCTTTCTTTTTGTTTAGCTGGTCAGTTACAGCAGATCTCTAAGGTTGATTCGATGCACACGCCATCCTTCCCATCATATTTCCGACCATTCTATTCAGCAACTATTGCCTGAAAGTAAAATTCAAGAAGAGAAAGGAGACTATCTACGGCGATACCTATCCCAAACTTAAAGTTTACCAAATTCAACTCTAGCACTTGCTTAACTTTTTGCAACAAGCGGACTGACTCTAGTGAATAGTACAAATCCTTGATGTCGATGTACAATACAGAACACTGTTTTCAATGAAACCGCCCTCGAAGATCAAGTAGTGCTTCCGAATTCCTCAGTGAAATACTCTAAACTACATACAACCCTCGTTATATAAACTTTGATATGCTGTATTACCGTGTTCCAAGTTTGTTGATCACCGTGCGAAGGGGATCCTCCGTGGCTATGATGCCAGCAGAAATGTATCTAAACACATTAGATAGTGCCATAACTGACCAGCCAAACAAAAGAAACACAACAACTGCTTTTTATGGCGGTACGTTGCTGACATTTTGTTTGCGTTTTTCAAAAGAATGATGCTCGGGGTTGTGAATTGTAGGACTTCGCGTACCGCCGCCGATACGCCAGATGCCACGTGGTCCGTCAAACAACCCAAGTCCAGCCTGGTTCTTTCACGGGAACGAGATTCCGCTCCTTTTTACTGGTTCATCAAACACAACGCTCGAAAACACTCAATCTAACATACAAAGACACGCGACATTATGCTAATATTCACAATCGCCCGTACAGTCAGAGTTAAACACAAAGAGAGCCCCCCAGGCCTCGTGTCCCGCAATAAACCTAGATCCGGTCGCACACACTTGCCTATTTTCGGTACCATCCGGAGTCCTAACAGACTTTTGCTTTTGCCCCCCGGTCCCCCCGACCATCTCTCGACCGATGGGCGAGGAGGTTACTCCTCGCCCGCCCTGTTGCGCCTACGGCGCCATCCAGTGGCTAGGAGAGAAAGCGGCACGTCGGGAGTCGAATTCGAGATCCCAATCGACCCCGCGGCGACACGACCATGCGGTCGTGTCTGAGCCGAGGCAACTGCATAGCCGCCTCGCGGCCCAGATGGCAGAGTGGTTTGATGGGCGCCCTCGTGAATGCACGGTGCGCCATAGAATCGATCATAGGAACAGCAACCTCAAACCCTCAGATTACAGTTGAACAACCTGATGATGAAATCCTGCAATTTCTTGATTTACGTATACATTTAAAACAGCGTCTTTGCTGGGAATACGGGAACAAAACCGGTGTTAAGTAGAAATAGCTTTCACGCTAAATCGGAGACAACAGGGTTTGCTAAATCCTTCATAACAAGCGTGTTGCGGAAATGATGCACTCAGTTTATGGGATAAGGCTAGATTCTGCAAGATATGAAGAGCACTGTCGAATTTTCGTCAAAATTAAGGTTCTAATGCTCACGCATTAAACATTCCAAGATCAAGAAAGTAGAAGTGAAATGGATTTGACAGCCAGTACCGTCAGAAGTGTTGAGGGTGTGAGCATACAATCGACGTGGTTGAAGCATTATCAATCATATTAAAATATCGCCTCAAGGCCGAGTTCAGCCATTAAACGAGCTTGACTAAAGCTCAGTGCTTTGCAGTCGGTGAAAATTGTTGCAGGCAGAAGTGTTCCACTGACGCCTGCTTCGGAATGGGTATGCATCTGAGACCTTTTACACGGCAGTTATTTGGTGATTGTGAAACACTCACGTATATATAAAACAAAAATTAAGATAACAGTAAACTGACAGATTGCTCTTTTATTACTCTTGGCTAAAGAAGCACAGTGTATCACTACTGTGACACTGTGCTGTCTCGCCGCTGTGCCGTTGTATTTGTCGCTCTGCCGTTTTGACGCCGAGCTGTTCTGCCTCGTGCTGTTCTAAGGATGCTTATTTGTCGCTTTGCTGTGTTGCTGCCATGATGTTTTGATGCATGCTGTTTTTACCGTTCTTACTGATTTCTCCCGTACTGTTTTGTCATACGCATTTTTGAGCATCTCCGTATGTTTCCCTCAAGACATTAACATTTATTTATCGGCAGCCACTTAGAAAGTACGAAACAGTCGGGTTTGGTATCTAATAATGATTCATTTGCGCAATACCAGCTCATTGAAAGGCAAGCGAGGACAAGAGCTATAGACATCTGGCCCGGCCAAATGTATATCAAGGCAATCGCTACAATGGCCATCCAATAAAACAAGTTACAGTTCATGCGTTTTATATACGTTGGTTTCTTTGTGTATATAGAAGAGAAGTTCTGCCGTTGTAAGAACAGCGGAACTTAAGCACGTCATATCGGTTAGCAACCGCAGACCCTGCACACCCCAAGCACCAGGTTTCAGATGTGTTTTCATTCAAAAAGTACATGTTAAAGATCCCTATCTGTTGATCCCGCCCACAATTCGTCTTGCCAGATCCTTTTGTCCGGTGTGTGTTTGCCATCTCAGTAAAAACAAGTTAGATTTTTGCCCACTATGATTTTGCCTGGTGAGAGGATATCGGTGGAGCTTTCGTTCAATTGAATTTTTGTCAACTTACAAAATCTGAGACACAATGGTAAATACGCATGAACTGAGAGCATTTCGAGATTTGTTTTTACTTGTATCAATTTGAAGCAGAAACAGCTGTCTCATCAATAATGAAGAAGTAAAACTTTTTTTTTTTGTACAACTAGGTGTTAAATACTGACGCATGTGGCGGCTCCTTTCGCAGACGCTCCTGTTCATCGACGTCCACGGCAATGGGGTGAGGTCTCCCCTGTGCGGCGGGGCGCTCATCACGCCTCAGCACGTGCTCACAGCCGCCCACTGTACCTTCAACGGAAACAAATCGTGAGTACCCGACACTGTGTGCATTGTTGATTTTTGAATTACGCAGGGATCAACGAGTACTGGCCACAAGCGCCAGCCCCGATCAACGAGCGTGGAAGGGAGGACAGTTTTGCAGAGCAATAAAAGGGGGAGGAATATAAGTGCCTGAATCTTCTCTTCTTTTTTTTTTTAAGTACACCCCTAACTCAAATTGCATGTCTTCAGCCCTCTGTTTCGCTGCTTTATCAGTTTGCTCCTTTTATCGCGATTTGGTCTGATGATGGAGCACCTGTGAATTCCCACTTCTCAACATGGCTTCAGTTGGCAGACAAGTTTGGGTAAGGTATCTCGTAAGGTCTACGTGTGTTCTTCGCTTGACATGTTTGCTTTCTTATCTAGAAACGATCAGTTACCACTTCAACGGAATAGAAAAAAACATGCAGGTGGGAAAAACGCTTCACGCAATAAAAGAGCGTCTGGTGGACTGAGCATTCCTTCGCGGCTTCAGCAAAAGGGCCTTATATGAGCACTCCTCCATGCAACATCGCTTGTTTCTGTGATACAATGTAACTGTTATTTTGTGTTACCTTTCTCTGCTTTGAATATCTCAGGATCCTGTAATTTAATCAAAATTAACTGGTGCGCTAGTTGGCTCTGCCCTGTTCCCTTTTTTTTCATTTATGTTTGCGCTTTTAATTTTTCCTTTAATTTCTTAACCTCAGTGTACGCCAACTACTTACGCAGTCTGATATTGACATCATTAAAATAATAACGGGACCGAATATAAACTGCTCAAAGCACAGGGACAGCACATTCACTAACACAGCCGACGTAGAAATAGTCAAATCAACGCACGGTCGCCCAAGCCCACAAGCAACCTAACGCTCAAACGCAGGGTGAGAAGAGATCTATTGCATAAAAGGAGGCACACTAGTAAAACAAGAAAAAAGCCAGTTTACAAAAAAAACAAAAAACATTGAAAGCGAAGTTTAAGTTTAGTCATTCGCTTTCTGTCACCGAGATTAAAGTAGCCTGGGTTTCCACTGAGCTGCCTAATTATTCACTAAAGACAAGCTCTTAGGTCGGCTAGGGGTAGTTAAGATGTGGGCTCGTAGTTATCAAGCAGAACGTTTTAGTGATACACTTAAACACTAATACGTACCGCTTGCAACGCCTAAAAATAAAATGGGTTCCGATGTGAAACAACCACCCAACGACTATCGCGAGTCATAATGATTGGCGAATTGGTGGTGACTGCGCGGTCCCAGGCTGACGCCAGACGCGTTCGTGGCCCGTCTCGGCGAGCACGACTACCTGAGCAACGATGATGGCGCCAACCCCGTGGACGAGCCCGTCGTGCAGATCCACCGGCACAGCGACTTCAACTCCAGGACGTACCTTAACGACGTGGCAGTGCTCAAGCTGCGACGGCCCGTTCCCCTCAACAAGGACATCGCCCTCATCTGTCTGCCGTATGGGCCACTGCAGACTGACACATACGAGGGCAAGATGGCCAACATCGCCGGCTGGGGAGAACTCTACTATGGTGAGCGTGCTGACCGCGCTGCGCGCTACGGCTCCTCGGACACCAGTGCACCGTCCGGGTTGACGATTTTACTGGTTTTACTACGGTACCTGGAGCGCGTCTTGGACAAGTCTGTTTACCGTCCTATCCCGACCATGCATCGAACGTGGTTCCAATGCGGCAACAAACGGCGTCACAGGAGTTTGTATGTCATGCTGTCGTGTGTGGACATGCTGGTCGTAGAAATCTGTGAAGAAAAAGTCGAGAGGATGCAAGGGGCGCTGCAGTCGCTGCCTCTCAACTCGTGTCTGCTTGGATTTCTATCGGCGCAGCAGAGCGACCTGTATAAGAACAGGCGTCTGGCACATCCGCCTGCACTGCTGTGCCATAGATACGTTCATGACCTCCTTAGGCGAAACTCTAGGGACCACTATTCAGGGCACGGTAAAAACACAAGGTGTAGACGCACTCCATGCACCATAGTTTTACTAAATACTGTACATGGTTCTGCGTCAAGTGACAAACGAACGTTTGTTGTACATAACACAAGAATATATCCACAGAACGATCATATCCACCGTTAATACGAAGTGCAGAACGAGTGCGAAAAACACGGTAGCTCGTGTGCTGTGCGCATTCATTACTCACGCTACATCTTTCGTTTATTTCGGTTTATACATTGTTATACTAAACCAAGCATATAGGATCACTAAGCACTTCTAATGTTCGGGCTCAGAGTATCTTGCCAGATGTCTTCCGAACTTCTCATTCCGGCGCCTTTCCACGTGCGGCTCTACGGGCACTTCCACGGGCTCACTCTCAGCCTGCAGCTGTGGTTGTATTACGGTGTAAAGTATGCATCGGGTCACGGCTCGTGCTTCTCAGGTGCAGTCCTACGGGGGCTCTCTCAAACAAACCGCTGCACCGATAACTACTGTCAGGACCCACATCTTGGCTTCTCTTTTTTGAGACTTAGTAGCGACTTGGCATTGTGGTCTTAATACGTCCGCTGCTTCTCCTGGATCTGACGTGGACGCTTCTGAACCTCCTGTGGTTGAACAATGCACGGTTCCAGGATACTTGCTGGAGCCGGTAGGAGGGTCCTATTTCGATCCAACAGCCGTTCCACAGGAGACGCGTCGTCCAGCTCTTACCATGCCGCTTGAGCGAGAATGGTAAGGGTTGGACGGCATATGTTTTCTGCCCATTTTACTCAGATCCTTGAGCTGCTGGCTGTTGAACGCTGGACCATTGTCGCTGTAGAGAGGTTTTGGCAGGCCGCGCACCACGAAGATTTGTGCGCAGCTCGGAATTACTCGATTTGCCGTCAAGAGGTCAAGTACTCTTATTTCGAAAAAAAGTTTAAGTTTAGCACAACCAGCATTTTTTTGTCATTGTGGTAGCACCAGTCGATATGGAGAGTCTGCCATAACAAGCTAGGAATTTTATGACAAAGCAATGGGAGCTTAGAATTCTAAAGTTGATAATTTTTGCTATAAGCCCAACTCTTCGCCAATTGCTTATCGTCGCTTGCCACATTAAAGGAAAAAAAACACCGGTTCTTGGCCTTGCCTTCATTTTTTCGGCTTCTCCATGTAAGACATGCAGAGTTGTGAGTACACCCTATGCTGCCTTGCGGGGATGACGAGCCTGTTGCTGTGAAATCGAGTCCATCCTGGACGTGGATTTTATTGCGGTAGTTTCAGAAAGCTCTGATATTCGCCGCAACCCAGCTCTTGGTTTCAGGTCATACTCCACTTGTGTAGTCTCGCAGCATGTTCATGTCCGGATATTGGTTGGTTTCTTGCAACACGTCGTTCAGGTGTTTGTCTGAAATAGGCAGGCATTCGATTACGTTCAGGTAAAAATGGTCTGTTTCCTCTTGAGACATTTGTAAAACTAATCAAAGCATCTGCTAGAATGAGTTTTTATTGCAGATTTGAACTTGACCACGATTTTACACTTCGGAAGTTCAGTCTCGTGCGTCATAGGCATAGCGGGCACATGCACAGCGTTTTCTTTTCTAATATCATTTATAACGGCTTGTAGTCAGATTGGACGGTCACTTCGAGCTGGCCAAAATGTAGTGATAAAATTGCTAGCATCCGTGAGCAATGGCGGGAATTTCTTTTTTTATGTGTACGTCCTTCTGCTGAGTAACCGTTAACAAACCGAACGAGTATGTCAGCGGGTGCCCGTCTTGGATTATTGCAGATTGTACGCCCAACTATAGCTTGCGTTAACCGAGAGCGTGATGGGTCAGTCGTTCTGGTGCTGTTTCTTTTTTTTTTTTTTTCTCCAGACTTTGTGCAATGCCCTGAGACTTGCTTGTTTCCGTTCATCCCACACCCAGGCAACCTTTTTTCTTTAGCAATTTTTTTTTTAACGGAACGGTGATTGTTGACATATCAGGAACAAACCGCGTTAAAAGTTCACCCTGCCGAGGAAGACTCCGAGTTCATTTCGAACTATTTCCTCCTTCATGGCTAGGATGTTGCGCAGTCTTCTTGGGGTCAGTGTCAGTCACTTGTTAGTCACGATGCGACATAAGTAGCGGACAATTTACTGCAACAAGTGGCATTTGGACCTGTTCATCTTGAAATCGTAGCTTCGATATCTACCCAATACCTGTTTTAAATTTTCGTCATGCTCTCGTCTGCTTCGTCACCATAACAGAATATCATCCATCACCACGGACGCCCCTACTTGATCTTGCAACATTTGGTGTCTGACTCACTGAAACACATCTGTCGCTGCTGGGAGCCCAAATGGCATTCTCAAAAACCTGTACTTCCTAAACGTGCACCCACGGTGTAAAGTTTTGAGTTTTCGTTGTCTAATGTTTGCTGCCAGTAACCAGACGTACCGTCTAGTGCTGAGAAATGATTCGCTCCCCCCCCCCCCCCCCCGACCCCACCCGGGTTTGGCTCAACATCTTCTAATGTTGGCATTCGGTAGTATTTTCTCAACAGAGGTCGGTTCAAGTCTGACGAATTACATAACCGTTCTATGACTTTTTTTAACGAGTACTACCATGCAGCTTGATCATTCTGTTGGCTCCGTTACCTTTTCCACGACTTGGTTCGCTTCCATCCGCTCGAGCTGTGCTTTTTCCTTTTTCTGTAGCGTCACAGACGTACTTTTTGTGGTCGTCATGGTACCTTGAGCATCTGGCTTCAGCTTGAAGCGGTACATGACGTCTTTCACTTTGAAAAACATTACTGTAACACTCAACCGCTTCCTACAGTTGTTGTACTACCGCTGCTACCCGCGTAACGACGCCCAGACGTTCGGAAACCTATTCGCCGGGTGTGGCTGTCATGTCCTCCTCCCCCGCAAAAAATAAAAAAAAGAACAAGCTGCTTCTATTCTATTTCTGTTGCCAGACACACGAAGGAGATTCTTCGCAAAAATGTTATTTTGGAAAAGAAAAAAAAAAGCTTTCGGTACGATGTTGCACTTTCGGCACGGCTTCCCGGTGATCTTGCGAAGTTGGCTCGCCGCGAGAACTGAGCTGGGGTTCTAATCCTGACACTTTGCGGAAAAGTCACCGAGAGATCGAGCGAATGTGATTGGCTGGCGCCAAGGTCAAGTGCGGCGTCGGCCAATAACGGCCACTGTATTTCTCGCCCACATTTTTGCCAAGCATTCATATTAGGGTCCCAGGCCTCTCCGCTGTCTGCTTGCTTTGTTGGCGGCCAGTCAATATCGACTGTGACTACCCATTTGCTCCTGGATTTTACAGGTCTCGAATTCCAACTATAATTCTGCTTCCAGAGCATCCTCTCTTCCATCTCTCCAAACTCGCAATGCTTCCCTGGGACTGGTAGTTCTGTTAGCCACACGCTGAAGTCTTCTCCTTCTTTTTGGTTTCGTGTTCCTAGCATACGCGAGGTTCAATGCTGGTCTTGAAAAATCCTCGAACTTTGCGATCAGTAACTTGACGCAGTAGCTCTCTACTTCGTTGTTGGACGTAAACGTGCTATACTTTTTCCGCGCTTTTTCTTTTATCGTCATGAGCAAAGTCGCTGCTTGCACCTATTTCGGCTGCGTTGAGAGGAGGATAGCCGTAGAAAAAAGTTCGAACCCACTTTTCGAGACCTGCGCGTTAGCCCAGGCCTCTTCAGTCTTGTCCAAGGGCTTTGCGGGTGGCAGTGGCGACATCATGAATCTGTGCGGCGTTGCAGCACTGGACGTGGCCATAGGACGTATCCGTTCCCGCAGTGGCTGGCGTACTAATAATGCTGATGGCGACGGCCCGAGCCTGCACTCCCAGCCTCACGCACTTCTGACACCATCTTGATGGTTGTGTCAACTGACGAACGAACGTTCCTTGAACAGAACACAAGAATATTTACACTGCAATGATCAGATGCACTGATGATAAGATACGCAGAACGACTGCGCGTAACACGGTAGCGCTTGTGCATGACGGTGTGCATTCATGACTCACGCTAAAACACGACGAAAGCAACCCTTGATAACCGGTCTGTGTCTTGAAATGTATTTTGTGTTCTAAGCAAGCATTGGACAAATATTGGTTAATGGATAACGCTTTGCAGTACCCACGCTCTCTAGATAATCTATATTTCTCTTTGTAGAGATTGCGTAGGTATAAAAACGAAATGTTTCAATGCTGTTTGTTATTCTGCCCTTCTGACGCGTTCTTTCCTCCTTGTTAATTTACCATTGTTGAAGTTGTACTTTGAAGCTAATTAAAAAGTTGAAATAGTCTGCTTTATTGTGTAGTGACCTCATGTCAAAGCTAATCATATTCTACATGTTTAAGACGACGCTATGCGTCGACCCAAACAACATTCACAGTTATTCTGACAGAAATCGCAGAATTGTATCGCCTAATTTGATATTTATTATACTGTTCACCTAAACATCTCATTGGCTTGTTAGATCATGCACCCTGACTAAAGGTTGCTGATTAACTTAAACATGTGCAAAATTCATTTTTACGAAATGTTAGGATTCCAATGCAGGAGGTATTAGAATATTGTATATACCACCTTCGTCTCCTCAAACTATTGTGGTATAACTCTATTGACTGCTACCTTGTATGCAGTGTGCGTCCGAAATAAATAAAAATGTCGTTCAGCTCTTTATCTTCCTGAAACGGGTTAGCGATCACAACTGAGGGCGCGTAGATATCATAAACATATGGTGTACCCGCGTTGGCATATATTTTGACAGTTGGCCATGACTAATCAGCTACTTCGAAGGCAGTTCCAGTGGTTTAGTGTACCTCTATCCAGTTTCTGAAAAGTAAAGACCAACTTTCTGCCGTCGAGGGTATACAGAATGTAACGGAGACAAAATAAAATCACTCGTTTTATTGTTAATGCCGTAGCTCATAGAATGCCATTTTTGTTGGGTATATCTGTGCCACGTTTAAGCTCCCAAGAAGGACGCTCAATGCAAAATATATATATATAAGTAAACAAACTTTCCGAGCTTATACATCACAACAGCGTCTAAACAGAGCTCAGTCCTAGACATGCCAATCCGAACAAACTTCTTAAGGCTTTTGTTAGGAATAAAAGTACAGACTTCATCACCCCCCCCCCCCCTAAAAGTTATTGAATGCTAATCGAAGCAGGTTGTCCCTGTCGAGGTTGTAATTGCCGACCTGTAACGCCTTGCAGGAGGGCCGTCGAGCGCTTCATTGCAAGACACCCGCATCCCGATCCAGAGCTTGGACACGTGCAAGGAGTCCTTCAAGCGCACCAGCATCACATTCACAGATAACTACCTCTGCGCCGGAAGTCTCAAGGGAGACAAAGACGCTTGCAGAGTGAGTTTCTGCGTTCGAGGTACTGCGATTGTACATGAAGAAGTGTGGAACCACCGTGCCAACAATGTGTAGAGAGCGAGACAGCGTTGAAGAGTTAGACACTGCTGAATGCGAGCGACAATTTTTTGCTCGTTATCAGTTTCGTCTATTTCTTTCTTTCTTTGAGCTTCTGTAGTTTTAATACAAAATATATGCGCCTGCTAAGGATCAACACACAGACTAAGGTTTAGTGTCTAGTATTATTGCTAATTGCAAATATTGGCCAAGGAAATTAACATTGCTTGGAAAGTACCTTTTACGACGCTCTCTATACGCAGAATTTATTATAGTCTTAACTAAACCAATCTTTTGTATTCGTTGCCCGAAGACGATGCAAACACCGAGTTCTACCCCTTATATTGAAGCTTATATGCAGCCGAAGTAAATTTCACCACGATGTATTCTGCAAGACTGTGACTGCCTCTGGTATTTGTAACTTTGACGGCCGAAGGACACGAAACTTACACCTAATAAAATGGCAGACATTGGATAGCCTTGATCAAAATTAGCATGCACGACGACCTTTGTGGAATGCAGACGATCATTTTTATAGCAACTATGAGCAAAATTGCTGCGGAAACTCGTATTTTTATGCGGCGGTAGTTCATGGAAGTTTTGTTTTATTAGGGAATTTTAGGAAACCTTTACCACGTTCCGCGTATCTCACTATTAGAACATTTGAAGCGGGCTTTTTAAGTGCGCGCCCGGAATAATACCGGGACCGCGGGGCGCGCGCTTGAAAGCATGCTTCAAATTATCTCGAAAGCTCGGCACATAGAGCACGATAGCGATTTGCTAAAAGACCTTATAGTCAAGTGGAACGTCCCTAGGGTATAGAAAGCGATTCACGTGCAATGGCTTAAGTTTCGGTGGTGGTTCTAGGGCGACTCCGGAGGACCGCTAATGCTGCTGGATCAGCAGGAGCGCTTCACAATCATCGGAATCACTTCATTCGGGAGACGCTGCGCAGAGCCCGGCTATCCCGGGGTCTACACCAGGGTTGCCAAGTACCTCGACTGGATCGCTCAGAGGCTAAACTGAGCCCCATCGACCGCTCCAGCTCCATCCTCCATTACCTTCCCGCTCACTAGTCGCGGCCCACACCTCAGACCGCAAACTTTGTACAATAAAACGACACAAAACTCTTCCAACGCTTGATTATGTGTTACTGATCCAAAGTGCTCGCAATCGTGATTTTGTTCTCACTACATCCCCAGTTGCTAGTGTGACCTGCAGAGATCATGTAAATTATTCGAGCAGAAGACACCTGATAAAATGCCGATTTTTTTTTTAAGCTGCCACATATAAGCAGTAAGTGCATATAAGATGTTAGTCACGGGGTATTTATATTTCGCGCGCTTTCTTACAATCTCGAATATATTGTCCAAGGCAAAGTTATCTCTATAAAAAAGGCGAGATACGATATTTCGCACCACGCTCTACAACTCTTGTGAACAAAATAATATATCAAAAGTTAGCTACTTTATTTGTTTTAAGTAACCAGTTTTGCACACCACAAAAAATATCTTGACTTGATCAAGGGAACCGTATAAAATACCGCGTTGGTACACCATGAGTAGCGTGCACATGAGTTTTTTTTTTTTTTTAAGCTTGGGCACAAGGTGACTATAACACCATCATGTTAAATATGATATTTATCTTATTTGCGCTGCATACTTTCTCCCCGCTTTATTTCTATGCAATGAAGCAAGTGCCATGCTTCCACATGTTGCTGGAGATCCACTGCCAAAGTGGCTTGTGATTGTGACAGAAGGCCATCCCCAGCTGAACGCTTGGTAGGCATGCCTGTGCACCCAAATCTGCAATCGCTTCCAATGCTTTTTGGAAAGCTGGATTCATAACGAAAGGTAAACTAGCAGACAAGCTGATTAATGACATTCAAGGTGAACTGGAGACACAAGAAATAAAAAAATAACAATGAAGTCTCATACTTTTTGGAATTGAGTCTTCTTTGTTCTGTAGGTTTTTTATGTATTATTCTTTTCTGGTTGACTATGAACTAGATCATGAACCAGCTTAGAACTGCGAGTTTATAATTATGAGAAATTTGTGTCTTGCTTTGAAAACTACAGGTTTTCCCGCTCAGTTTAATCCAAGCGACGGCCGAGTTAATCCAAGTGCCACACAATTTAATATATGCGCTACACAATTTAATCCAAGTGCCATTTAATCCAAGTGCCATTTAATCCAATCCCTGGGTCAGTCAATTTAATCCACAATATGTATATGCATTTATTGTCTTCAGGGGTCGTGTTTTGCTTACACATTTGGTAACCTAGAATAACTGTTTATACAATTAGATTTTTTGGAAGACAACTGATCATTTAATCACTACTGTGATTACTTGGATTTACTAGTCCCACTATTGACGAGGCTTAATTTATATGCTGATTTTTCTTTTCGTAACCTCGACTTATTGTGGCGCACTCGAATTTATTTTAGCTGATTGGACGTTTTGTTTAACCTTTCTTATTACTCGACCTCGCATTGCTACAGTTCACATGGTGTAAATACAATTGCAATTTATAATTACTGTTTTGATTACTTGGTGTTAATATTGCTTCAATTGATCTATAATGAACTGAGTTTACATTATTATTTCTCCCTTCATTGCTTCGAGTTACTCTTGAACCGTTGGCCAAAAAACTCGAATTAAATGCCATTGTGATCACTCTTCATTACTTTTAGCTAATATTCAACGAATTGAATTTTTATCTAGTGAATATTGACATTATGATTACTATTTTGATTACTTTAAGTTATTCCCGTTCAATTCACTTTAATTCGGCTTAAGTGACATTTTGTGACCCCTGTTTACTTTGTGTATTTATAGTTCCAATTTATCGGTTGTGAGCTAAATCGTGCATTATTATTAGTCTTGACTACTTCAAGTTACTTTTGATCCATAGGATTTTAATTTGGCCTCCTTCATATTGCAATGACTGTTTTGATTTTTTAAGCTGATATTTAACACAATTATGTGTTGTTCGCTCAATTGACACTACAATTACTTGTTTGATTACTTTGAGTTACTATTGACCGAATGGACTTTAATTCGGCTTAATTGACATTTTGGCTACTACCTTGATTACTTCTTGATAGATCTATAATGAACTCAGTTGTTACTCTTTTGTTATTTATTTATTACTCCTTTACCTTACCACTCTTTTGATTATTTGGAGTTACTTTTTACCCATTGGAGTCACCTAGAGGACGACCTCACGGACAACCTCAAGGACGACTTCTAGGACGACGCCTAAGAAGACCTCAGGGACGACATCTAGGACGACCTTAAATGCGACTTCTAGGACGACCTCGAGGGCAATGTCTAGGACGACCTCAAGGACGACTTCTAGGACGACCTCAGGGACGGCGTTTAGGACGACCTCAAGGACGACGTTTAAGACGACCTTAAGGACAACTTCTAGGACGACCTCGAGGCGACGCCTAGGACGACCTCGAGGACAACGTCTAGGACGACCTCAAGGACGGCTTCGAGAACCTCTCGGACGACCTCGAAAACAACGTCTAGGACCACCTGAAGGACGACATCTAGAACGACTTCTAGGACAACCTATAGGCCTCGTCCTCGCGGTCGTCCTAGACGTCGTTCTTGAGGTCGTCCGAGAGGTTCTCGAAGCCGTCCTTGAGGTCGTCCTAGACGTTGTCCTCGAGGTCGTCCTAAAAGTTGTCCTTAAGGTCGTCTTAAACGTCGTCCTTGAGGTCGTCCTAAACGCCGTCCTTGAGGCGTCGCCCTTCAGGTCGTCCAAGAAGTTATCCTTGAGGTCGCCCTGGACGTCGTCCTTGAGGTTGTCCTAGACGTCGTCCTAGACGTCGTAAAGATAGTTTCACTCGTCCTCCATCTTCACGTGAAGTGGAAGGGCTCTACATTTGTTCTATAAATATCGGAATCAAAGATCGCTTACCTCAGAAGAATTGCGGACACCAAAGGGAGTCGTCGAACGAGGAGAAGGGCTCCCTTGAGGGACTTCTCGTCTGACGCCGCCCTCTGGTGCCCGCGGTAGCTGAGGTGAAGTATAAAGTAACTCGAAAGTAACTTGAAGTAATCGAAAAAGTAATCAAATTATCAATTTTGCTAATAAATATTAAATTGGCTGAATAATGACCTAAAGTAATCAAAATAGTCACCAAACTGTCAATTAAGCAGACTGGTCTCCAGGGTCAATACTAGCTCAAACCAATCAAAAAAGTAATCATAATGCAAATGTAGCTCATAAGAGCTAAATTTGTCAATTGGTTCGATATTAGCTCAAAGTAGTCAAAAGTCATCAAACTGTCAATTAAGCCGAAATGATGTTCGTTGGGTCAAGAGTAACTCGAATTAATCAAGTCATGGCAATGAAGATTGAGCTCATCATAAATAAATTGGTGGCGCAATAACTCCAAGTACTCAAAATTGTCACCAATATGTTAATGGGGCGGATTTATAGCCCATTGAGTCAATAGTGAACAAAAAAAATATAAGAAATATAAATCATTATGCCAATTATGCTTGCAATAAATCAATTGCTTGAAAATTAGCAGAAAATTTTAAAATATTTGGGGTTGTGTGGATATTTAGACAGCGTGTAGTTGGTCAGCCATTTCAAAGTTGCGACGAGTCACTCGCTTTAGACCAGAAATATAGCCAGTGCAGCAAAACCGCTAGCCTGGGGTCTTTAACGTGCACCACGCAGTAGGCATACACGTACGATACGATGCTCGTCCAGTACGATGCTCATCCAGATCGAAACGGGCAGAGGTGGGGCAGAAGATAATCAAGCGTCCTCACAACGTCAATTAAACTGAATTAAGATGAATCGGGACAAAAGAGTAATAAACCAATAGGTCTTAAAAGACCTATTGGTTGAATGTGACCTAAAAGTAATCAAAAGAGTTACCAAATTGTGAGATAGGACAAATCCATTCGGTCAATGTAATTTAAAGTAATCAAAAAAGTAATCATAATATACATTAGGCTCATAATAAAGAACTTTGTATGAAGATAAGCTCAAAGTAATCAAAAGGTTATGCGATGTCATTTCGGTCGAATTCAAGCCCACTGGTTAAATGTAACTCGAAGTAATCAAAAGAGTAATAATAATGTCAACTGAGTTCATTATAAATTAATTGGAGGTATAATAACACGAAGTAATCAAACGAGTAGTCAAAATGTCAATTAGGCCGAATTAAAGTTCATTCGGTCAATAGTAGCTCAAAGCAATCAAACAAGTAATTTTAATGTCAATTGAGCTAATAATGAATAATTTTGCTAAATATTAGCCCAAAAAATCAAAACAGTTATCGCAATATCAATGAGGCCGAATTAAATTTCTCTGGATCAAAAGTAACTCGAAGTAATCAAGACTAATAATAATGCATCATTGAGCTCACAACCGATAAATTGGAACTATAATTACACAAAGTAAAAAAGAGTCACCAAACATCACTTAGGCCGAATTAAAGTCAATTGAATTGAGAGTAACTCAAAGTAATCAAAAGTGTAATCATAATGCCAATATTCATAGATGGTATAACAATTCAATTCGTTGAATATTAGCTAAAAGCAATGAAGAGTCATCCCAATGGCATTCAAATCAAATTTATGACCAATGTGTCAAAAAAGTAACTCGAAGTAATCAAAATAGAAATAATAATGTCAACTGGGTTCATTATAGATCAATTGGAGCAATATTAACACCAAGTAATCAAAAGAGTAATCGAAAATTGCAGTTGTACTTATATAATCTGAACTGTAGCAATGTTAGGTAGAGTAATAAGAAAGGTTAAACAAAACGTCCAATCAGCTAAAATAAATTCGAGTGCGCCACAATAAGTCGAGGTTACGAAAAGAAAAATCAGCATAGCAATTAAGCCTCGTCAATAGTGGGACTAGTAACTCCAAATAGTCACAATAGTGATCAAATGATCAGTTGTACCCCCAAAAATCTAATTTTGTAAACAATTATTCAAAGTTACCAAATGCGTAAGCAAAACACGACATATATATTGTGGGTTAAATTGACTGACCCCGGGATTAAATTGTTAGGCGCTTGGATGAAACTGTGTGGCACAGGGATTAAAATGTGTAGCACTTGGATAAAATTGGCCGTCGCTTGGATTAAAATGA